GGGGAGGGTCCTCCAACTTAAAGTGTTCCCCCTTTTGCTAATCCTGAGAGACTGAGGACTCCATGCAAATTAACAGGACAAGCAATTCGTTTATGAAGGTGCGTGTTGTCTCTGCCTCCTACCTGGGCGAGATTTAATTAGGGCCCACAGGGGACCTGCACTCGCACCGCCAGGGGTTACACTTGGCGCCGATCAGGAGCGGGCTCGTTCACCACCAGCTGCCTTCTGTGTCTCCATCAGTGCTGGTGAAAGGGCAGGTGACCACCAAGTACTACAGGTTCCTGGCGAAGCACGGCGGCTGGGTATGGGTGCAGAGCTATGCGACCATCGTGCACAACAGCCGCTCGTCCAGGCCACACTGTATCGTCAGTGTCAACTATGTTCTCACGTGAGTGCAAGTCTGGGACCCCTTTGCCCACACCAGGCGACCCTGGTTTCCACGAGGGTGCAGGTGGTGGGCATCGCCGGCTTAAGCGAGGCAGGGATCCAATCGGCTTTGACTCCGAGAGCTGCCTGCGTTGGGCAGCGGCAGCTTGAGTACTTTCATCTTTATGAAGAGGTTTCCTTCGTTATAGTCTAGAGAAAGATTTAGGACTTTTTCCATCCACAGTCCATATTTACTTTCTACTCTCTCTCTCTTAACCTTTTAAGCGAACTCTGCATTAAATAAAACTTAATGCGGCATAAAGAAAAAAAGAGAGAGAGAAAGGAAAGGGTCCGACGTACGGAGCCATTTATGGATAACAAACAGGACATCTGTTTCACTTTTTCAAATCTGGGTTTGAAGTTCTTAATTTTAAACAGAGTCTCCAATCAAAGTTAAGAGTTCTGAGAGAGTGATTTTTCTCTTGAACCACAAAGGAGGTTTTAGTGACCAAGAGGGTCTGACTTTAACCTCCAGAAAGCAAACGGACCCAAGCTAGTGCTGCAAGTTTGGGCCTGCGCCCGGGCCCCGCACGCGTCGTTTGACAGCATCCCTGGGTAAGCAGCCGGCCTCGGCCTCGCTGTGCGAGCTGCGGATGCAGCTGGCTAGGAGGCCAAGGCAAGCCGCATTTGAGCCGTATTCTTTCTAGAAACAATAATCGTGTGGCCCTGAGGCTGATCACGTGGCCTCGCGTGCGGCTTGTGAAGAAAGCACGTTCTGTATAATGTTTGTGAAAGTCAAAAGGTTGAAGCCTTTATGAAGAACCCTTTTGTGTACGCAGTTGCCATTTTTTTTTTGGTTTTCTTTTTGTTGAGGTTGAAATTCTTGTGATTTTAGAGCACCTCAGGAGTTATTTACGTTGGAAGAGTTGACACACTAGGTACTTAGTAGAAATGCTATTTTGACGTTAGGAAGCTGGCTAAGGGGTGCTTTTTGGAATCAGCCTATACTATCAGTGATGAGGACTGGATTCATTCCATGTTCTTTTAAAATGCCAAATTAAAAATGTAGTAGTTGGAAATATTATGCTTGGCAATGAGACTGTTTACTTTATGCCCTGTTTAATAGGAAATTTAATTCAATAGACTTGGAGAATGAATTTAGTTTAGATAAGAATTCAGTACTCAAGAATAATAGCTGGTTATGGGGAAGAATCGTTTTATTTATTTATTTTTTTCATTTTAGTAAACAGTGTTAAAATAAATACTATCAGGTTTTTGTAATACCACAAAGGCTTTGGATTTTAATACAGAGCAGGAAACAGTAATATTTTGGGTATCATGAAAAAGCCATCTATTTTATGAATGCAGTTTTTCATATTATTAAAATAAACACAAGAGAAAATGACAAATCCTAATTCATAAATAAGCCACTTTGTGAAGCATAAGTATTAAAGAGTGAAAAATGATGTCTGCTTACCATGGAAAGGAAATGGACATTCTTTAAGACGGTGCTTTATATGTCTGAGACATCACAAGCATTATACATACACTCTGTTCTCTGGTGGGTGCCTGTGGTTAGTAATCATTTTTTATCAAACAGCAGGGTCTATAGTCACACAGACCCATATAAATGATCAGAATGCAAGTTAGACCTCCCAATGGGTAAACTTAATTTATGTTTGGAATCATTTTGAAATATTCTGTTTTGTTTTCCAGTGGATAAGTGTATTTTCTTTCTTCTGTTGACTCTGTCATTCTTCACTTTACACACTTCTTCAGGGCTGCAGGATTAGGCTACCAAGTTTACATCAGATTAAAAAGATGTAATGAGGATAAATGATTTACAGAAGGAAAAATAACATGGCACACATTTTTTCTGAATGTTTTATACCTCTAAATGAAAATAGAAATAAGCACAGACGCACACAAGATGAAAAGCTGAAATTGATTACCCTTTTATGAGGCTCAGCTCCAATTCTTTGTATAAAAATTCTTAGGACAATTTTTATAGCTGCAAATGTGGAAACTGCCTTAGATAAAATGTCATCAAGTGGCTCTGTGTGTGTTGACAGGGTTTTCATAATGAACAGGTTGCAGTTTGTTTGATGTGTATATCACACATCTGGCTGGAAGTTACTAATTTACATTGTCTTAGCAAATTAAATAGATGGCTATTGATTCTCTATGGTAGCAGTGAACTACCACATACATTTGTTTTCAGGGTTCTCTATGAAGCCTGAGAATAAGTGAATTCTTTCCAAATACACCACCTCAAACAATATACTTAAAAACCACAAGCGCACCCCTCCCCCATAATTTGACAGGCCAGATGTTTTCCAAATTTAGACATTTTAATAGCATACATTTTGAAGGGATTTTCATGTCATGAAAGTAGAGAGAATTTTAACTAAGCATTCATCAAATAAAGGTGTGACATTTTGGTGGAAGCTGCAGAAGCTTATTTTTCTAATTTCTTGATGGTAAATTTATTATTGAAGTTAAAATATGCCTAGAAAAATTAGTCATTATTATCTAACAAAAGCAATGATGAATAAAACTTTTCAGTAACCTTGTTTTAATCAGCAACTGCAACAGCAAATAGGAATTTTAGAAGTAGGTGGTGTATGCCCTGGTGCTTTAATGGCTTTTGTATGATCTTAATACAAATATTGTTGTTCTGAAATACTGGAGAGGAGAGTGAGAAGACACTATGATTAAAATTTTAAAACTCTCTTAGTTTTTCTCTGGGCCCTTCAGGTTCCCTAAAGCTTCTATAGCTCTTCAGTAAAACTAAAAAAACAAAAACAAAAACAAAAAACAACAAAAAACCCCACAAAAAACAAAAAACAAACAAACAGAAATCAATAAGCAACTACTTCCCCAAACCCATTAGAAACCCCAAACAAAAAACCTGACCAGTTCATGATTTTCTATAAGACACACATGCCCTGTTAGGTTTGTGTGTCACATTAAAAAAGAAAACCTTTCTTACAAATTGCAAAATCTTTCTTACAGGCTTTGAAGTAAGTATTAAGTATGACAGGCACTGCTCCCTGATTATTTTCAAGAGGATATAGAATGGAGCTAGTGTCTAGTAACAGTGAATGTTGGGGAACATCTAGAAAAGTATGGAGGGGAAAAGGAAAGCCTAATTTGTAAAACCTAAGTAACTTTCAAAAATTCATATTTCCTTGAATTTTTTAAAATTAGTGGTATTAATTACTAATAGCCATTTCAGACAGAAAACATTACTTAAGTGAAGAAAATTGAAAATGTGGAATACCCAATAAACTACAAAAGGTAATTTCTAGAAAAGTGAAGAGTTTTGATTCTCTTTTAGTTTGTAAACTTTATATATTTTAAAAATAAAACTTTAAAAAATCTCCTCTGAGGATAAACCAATGAGGTGCAAAAATTCAATTTTAAAGTATTTTAAAACATAAATTTTTCAAACATACAAAAAGTTGAAACAATAATATAATGAATATCCATACACACATCATCTGTAATATAAGCCATATTTGCTTTTATGTATCAAAAATTTCTCTATGTGTTTCTATTTGTATGCACATTTTTCTCCATGCTGAATCATTGCAAAGTAAACTACAGATATTATACTTCATCCTTAAATAAAATTTTCCTACACAGTCACTGTACCATTTGTGATGGCATATTTAAAAAGTTCAAAATTACTGTATGTAGAAGGCTGAAAAAATATACATGAGAGCTAGTTTATTGATAAAATTAAAAACAACGTGCTACTGAAATTCACCAAGTACTCCCTGATGTATGATCTCAGGCTGATTGATAGAAGATGTTTTGAGAGGGGACTTCTATAGGCTATAGTTGTAAATGTTAGTGTATTTTAAACTAGAGTTCTCTAATGAAACTTGCAAGCTAATACAATTCTGATATTTTGCCTGGAAAGTAAAAGAAAGAGAGAGAAGTTTTCAAGAGTGATTTGGTTATTTTGGAACCAGACAGATTTAATATCTTCAACCATTTTTTGCTGCTAAAGAAGGCTTTTCTGCTTGTTTATTTCCTAAGTTTAGGAGGGACCACCACCATTCTAGTGGAAAACCTCATATACTATTTTAGAGTGATTCACTGAACACATAGAAAGAAGTACTTTTCTGTGTTAAAATTTCTATTTCAGTGTTGCAAAAAGCCAACTAGAGATAATTTATATTAGTGGTCCACATGACTCTTGCCATCTACTAAATAACCCTTTTGAATTTATAGAAAATCCAAATGCCAAAGGAGACATATTTACTTCATGTAAAAGGAGAAAACAGGGTCTCTACATTTTAAGTATTTCAGGTCCCATAATTTTTGTTGTTCTTTGTGCGAAACCATTATAGTTCTCACAATTAAAAGGGTATTAACATATTCTATGAATGTAAAACTTTACATATCCTCCTATAAAGCAGCAAACATTAAAATATGCTCGTATTAATTTGCTCTTTCAAGTAAAATAATACTGAGTTAATTTTGGCATTTACGTTTTTTTTAAATTAAAGGCCCAGTGATGTTATAGTTACTGCTACTAGGACATTTTAGAAAATCCTTTTTAAAAACTTGACCAATAATATGTATAGTTATAGAAACACATTTTCTTTTCCTGGTTAGCAAAACCACTCTTTTATATTATAAATAATGTCAAATGAAGCACCTTTTGACTTAAGCTACAGCAAATATAAAATAATTTACTCTCATGCCTTAAGTCTATGGAGTGCTTGTTGCATAGATTTTTTTTTTTTTTAGCTGAGCCATCCTGCCACCTGTTGGCAGCTCAGCGGCTGCTCAGCTCTGGCTGGACTCGAACCACTGTTGCTCAGAGCTCAAACTCTTGAGCGAGCTCTTAACCAACTGAGCCACTCGGCTGGCCCTGCATAGATTTTTTGATCATTAAAACTAATAATCATGTTTCACCTAAGTCCACATATACTTCTGTAAGAGCATGACTTGTAATAAAGGGTTAACAAAAAAAAAATCGTGCGCTAATGTGTACCCATTTGATCC